AACAAAAAAAAAAAAAAAAATAATAAAAAGCAGAGGGTATAGTGAGGTGGTAGAGCACAAAGGGCAAGTTGAGTGGGGTGAAGAAAATAATAAGGCTGAAAGGAAATGTGTCTTTGCTTGTGCCCTCAGCGTTTGGCCAACTCCAAAGCCCACACCTCTCGTTTCATCAGTGCCAACCTCCCCTGCAACAAGTTTAAGAACCGCCTTGTCAACATCATGCCCTACGAGACCACCCGGGTGTGCCTGCAGCCCATCCGCGGCGTGGAGGGCTCCGACTACATCAACGCCAGCTTCATCGATGGCTACAGGTCAGCAGCACCTCGTGCCCCCCACAGCCACCTCTGTGTGCCTCACCCTTTGGGGTCTCTAGGGCTTAACATGTTGGCATGGTTTAACCCCCGCCAGCAGCCAAGAACCAGCAGCTTCTCGCTCATTCCCCCACCAACGGGATGGGGGAGTGAATTAAAAGGGTAAAAACTACAAAAACTCATGGGTTGAGATAAAGATAGTTTAATAGAGAAAGCAAAAGCTGCACACACAAGCAAAGCAAAACGAGGAATTAATTCACTGCTTCCCACAGACAGGAGGTGTTCAGCATCTCCAGGAGAGCAGGGCCCATCACGCGTAATGGTTCCTTGGGAAGACAAACGCCATCACTCCAGATGTCCCCCCTTCCTCCTTCTTCCTCCCACCTTATATACTGAGCATGGTGTCCTATGGTATGGAATATCCCTTGGGTCAGTTTGGGTCACCTGTCCCAGCTGTGTCTCCTCCCAGTCTCCCATGCATCCCCAACTTCCTTGCCAGTGTGGCAGTACAGAAAGCAGCAAAGGCCTTGACTCTGTGTGAGCTCTGCTCAACAATAACAAAAACATCTCTGCATTATCAACCCTGTGTTCAGCACAAACCCCAAACATAGCCTCATACTAGCCTCTATGAAGAAAGTTAACTCTACTTCAGCTCAAACCAGCACACGTGTAGGCTGTTCTGTCCCACCCCCTGACTGTCCCTGCCCTCAGCAGTGCAGTGCCAGAGGTGAATTCCTCCAATTCCAACCTTCTCCAACTTTTCTTTCCACGTGGTCTTGAATTACTGAGCCCCTGCAGCAACCCAACCCTTCTCCAGCTGCAGGTCCTAAACACAATGGCAGTGAGGGATGGATTTTGCCATTGGGAGGTTTCTAAATATGGATTAGCTTTTTTATCATGTTTGTGGTTTGGGGATGTTGAGTTCTGACAGATTTTTCCCCCAGGCAACAGAGCCATGTGCTCCAGCTCTGGGAGCTGCAGCCTTTCCACAAGTGGGTTTGGAGCCCAAATTGAGGGACCAAAACAATCCCATGTGCAGGTTTTAGCATCTCCAGGTGCACCAGCAGTGCTGGCCCAGGCTGTGGCACTGGGGTTGAGCAGCTCCATGCCTGGTGGGTTGGATTCTTGGTGCTACTCAGGCCCAGAAAACATGGATTCTGCTTCATGGAATCAATCCCAGACTGGTTTGGGTTGGAAGGGACGTTAAAGCCCAACTCATTCCACCCCTTGCCATGGGCTGGGACACCTCTCACTAGACCAGGTTATAAGTCTTCAACACTTCCAGGAATGGGAAGTCCATACCCTCTCCAGTGCCAGGAGGAAAAAAACCTCTCCAGTTTCTAGTTCCAAGAACTTCCTTCCTAGCTCCAGTTCCTCCACACCCTAATTCCCAATTCCAGGAGTCCAGAATGCATCATGTTACACTTGTTCCATGGTAGAATGAGCTTGATTTACCCCTTGGAAGTGACATTTAGAGAAAGCTTCACCACTAGCCTTTTTTTTTTTTTTGACCACCAAAGACACCTCCCACCTCTGTCGACTTTGTACTGTTCAGCGTTCCCATTTGCTCTCCTCCTCTCCAACCTTTCCCAAAGCTTCTACCCACACACTTGTCCTACCCCTTGACCCCCCTGTTGGTCTGGGCTCTCCCTCAGGCAGCAGAAGGCCTACATTGCCACGCAGGGACCCCTGGCAGAGACCACCGAGGACTTCTGGCGGATGCTGTGGGAGAACAACTCTACCATCGTGGTGATGCTGACGAAGCTTCGCGAGATGGGCAGGGTGAGTGGGGGCTCAGGAGGAGCTGGGAGGGGTGGGATCCTGCAGGCCATGGGCTAACTGGGAGCTGTCTCTGCTCTGGGCAGGAGAAGTGCCATCAGTACTGGCCGGCCGAGCGCTCCGCGCGGTACCAGTACTTCGTGGTGGATCCCATGGCCGAGTACAACATGCCCCAGTACATCTTGAGGGAGTTCAAGGTCACAGATGCCAGGGTGAGTGCTGCACGAGGGGTGGAGTGGTTCAAACCAGGGCAGCAAATGGGATTTGGTGGGTTTGGCTCCTAAAAGAAAGGCTGAGGGGAAAGCACCTTGTCTGGGATTGTCACTGGAGGAGAGATTATGGAATACCTTGGGATATTGGGAAGGACCCACAAAGA